AAAAGATTGCCCTGATGTGTGTGTTAGGATTAGTGCAAGTCATGAAAATACCCTCCATATGCAAACTAATTTTCATTCCCTTACTTATGTATTCTCAAGACCTCAAAAAAATGACTCAAATGGAAATCTAATAATTGTGAGGGTTTACACATGTGCTAAACGAATTACTGGGCTAAGCGCATGGCATTTGCATCATCAACATAAAAAATCATAACTATTTTATATTCCATGTTTTTTAGCAATAAACACTCTCCAAACATAGTTTATTTGTCTAGTGGTAGTTTTCACACCGCTATACTGTCATATGTACTCATTTTACTGAACCAAGATCGCCAATTATGTTTTCGTAAGCATTTTGAAGAGAAAGTTTACTGTGGTTTTACACCAATAGAAGACAATTTTTTTTAAATACTTCAAATTATGAAATACTTCAAATAATGCTCAGATTAAAAATTCATATAACCCCAATGTAATGTTTTTCGGATATTAACTAAAGTGTATGTAACGGATAAAGATCGGAAAATGGTTGATGGTAGGAGTACTCGGTCGAATCACTACTCAGACAAGCTAATAAATCTGTATGAATGAAGAAAAACTAATTATTACGAACTTCATTCAGTTAATGTTGGTATCAGCTACCGGGCACTGGCTGAAATAAGGTGTCTGTCCGAGAGTGAAGGCAAGTGTACGTTCTCATCAAGAGGTATTTGAACACAAAAATTCTCAACGTATTCGTTGCACAGCTCGAAAATGCATAGTGAAACGTCAACTGAGTTACTGTGATGTAGGTGCTGTGGTTTTGTGTCAATAGAGATGTACGCCTCACACAGTGTCTCTCGATACTTGTCTATGCACCTGGACTCTTTCTAGCCTCAGTAACGTTCTTTCAGAAGTCTGATTCCTGTTAATACATATTTGCAATTTGCAATGGACGTACTGCACGTTCCATCTCGTGTTCTGTCATGCCAAAATCACTCGGCTAATGTCCAAAGCATACCTTGAAGCTGTTCTTATCCGGGACTTCATCTACCCATTTAAAAAATGTGAACATGAACCGTCAAATTCGTTAATTCTTCGGCTAGATTCGCACTTTGTACGTTCACATACACTAATATCCCATCAAACCTAATTTTCTAATTCACATGCGCTAGAAGTTTAATTAAAAGTATTTACTAATGGACAAAAATAAAATGATTTTATTGTACATGTATTTCAGATACTTCGAATTTCATACACTTACTTCACGGTGTTGAATGGAATGAACGAATAAATAGAAAGGAAGAGCAACGTTTCGAAATATACCAAGAAAAATCCTCTTTACATTACCAAAACTTGACTGCAATCAGTAAAGCAATTTTATGAGGACTGTACACGATAAATAATAATCTGGAGAGCACTTGCATAATATTTCTCAATATTTATTTTATTGACAAGAAAGGAGATATTCACATTGTAAATTGTGTGGAATAAATATCTTAGCAATAATATTATCAAACATAATAAATATTTGAAATTGAAACTGATGTTGTATATCATTAATGTATTATATATTTTCATTTTATTCCACGTATTTTAGTGAAGGTGTAGCAAGAGGATTTCATAGATTTTTGCTTACCTATCTCCTATCCTCATCTTTTAATATGTTATTTAAACTACTTTTATTCTTAATTTTCCAAACTTATGTAGTTGTGTGTCTACAGAAAAGAAAATTATTTAAACAGTACATTACGGAAGAACATTACAACATTACATACAAATTAACCCAATACAATAATAGAATAAATTGAATCTTTATTTTTATGTCTTTTCTTACATTTTCAATAATTGTTTTATTACGACGTATTCATAGGAAAGCAGATCTCGATAACATGTGTGTGTGTGTAAACAATTTACCTTAATCCAATCGTCATTCAAACTTTTCTTAAGTTGTATACAAAAAAATATTTCTAAGAAGTGCATCTATAATAAAGAAACATCGTTTAGTTTTGGGTTTTTACATCTCTACAAAAATGACTATAACTTTCGTAAATTCATGTTTACGAATTATTTATCCTAATAATTTAAAAATTAATTATCAATTGATTTTTTAAACAATTTATCCAACGTTTTCAAATTCGACTTTGACTTCGACTTCGAATCTAAATAAAATGAAAAAGTTTAAACAAAATTTTCGAATTTAGATTTCTATATGGATTATTGAATAATTAAAAAATTCCATTCATTCGGTCTATAGTAAGCAAACGTCTTTCTTGCTGAAATCCTCATCACTGCTCGTTAAAAGTCAATGCAAAAGTGGGAAAGCAGAGTCAATAATGAGAAAGTCATTATGTCCGCAATCACTGAATAATAAGCAAAGCGTAGAAGCTTCCAGAGCAGAGATTGCGTTGATCTGAACTACTGGTGTAAAAGAACGTGGTTTTGGTTCCGGAAGGACCCTTAAATGGAATTCAAATGTCAAACAAATCACTTCCCTTCATCCTTGAGCCGCTTAGCGTCAGCGATTATAGAAGGTAAGACTTCTGTCCAGAGCGTGTAACCTACTTTGTGTACCATTATAGGAATTGCCTGAACACGTAAATTTCAAATATCTGCACAAAGAAAATACTGAATTATCACTTATTAAATATTCCTCTATTTGTTTTGAAAATATTCAATGCATTTAATAGTAATATAGTGTGCTTTTACTCTAGAAGAAATAGTAAGCAGCGATTTAATCCCAAAATATTCGGAAATTGACTTTAGAAGTGAGTTATTAAATAAAATATCATTGACTCGTTCACAAAAGTTAAAATCAGAATTTGAAAGTAATTTTCACTGCTAATTTGTTAAATGAAAGATAATATTTAAAACTAAATCGTCGAAGGAAAATAATAATAAATTATACATGGCCTTATTTCAAAATCTACGTTTATGGAACAGATTTTATTCAAAAAAATATCTATTTTTAATATTTTAGATGAAGGAAGACGCGAAAAAATATCTATTTTTAATATTTTAGTTGTACGAAGAAAATTTGGATTTTTTTCAATTTTCGACAAATCACAGTTTTTAACCAACACGAGGCCTGCACCATTCTCTTAAACGTGCTTCAGAATATCCACCAATAACAATTTTGAAAATCTCTCAGGGCCTTTATGTCAAGTACTCCCCAAAATTAAAATATCGGTTTCAAATTCAAGGAGCCGCGACATCTGCTATTTCGATATGAAGTATCAATTTTGGAGAAAATCAGCTGAATGATTTAGCCCCTAGCGGTGTTCACAGACAGACAAACAGACGGATAGACGGACAGACGTTTTGCCATCAAAATATTTTTCGGTCAAGTACCCACAAACCGGTATTCTGGCTACACCACTTGTTAGAGAATTTTGTTTCTCCATTTAGCATCTGAATTTATCCACTTTTCGTTACCAGGGCCCTCTAATAAGAGTTTTTCTGCCGTAAATTCTCCGTACATTTGCACAACATTACATAACTTTCACTTCTTAAGAAGTTCCTTCTTAAGCGCGCGGGAAAGTAAAATCAAATAAAAGAAACAATTTGAGCTCAAAATGTCTTTCTTCTTTTTAGTGTTGTACGGTAATGGTGTGCTGAAATTTCATTTTGTAACCCATTTCTGATTGTTTCTTTTAAATGTTTGTCATTTTAGAGAAACTGTAATTTGATAAGAAAATTAACTCTGTAAAGTTTAACAAAGTTTCTAAAATTAAAAAATAACAAACAAATATATAAAATTTAAAAACAATATTGTGTATATTTTGGGAGACTTTTGTACGAGAAAAATAAGAAAAGCAAAGTTTTGTATTCTGAAAACCCTTTGATAATATCTTACATCAGAAATGATTTCCAGATGACGATCCGTCTAGTGGCAAGAATGACGAGCCAAGCGCATCTCCGGAAGCAGCTCTCCTTGATGGTAAGATCTACATGAAGTCGTACACCCGTTGGCTCTTCGCAACTGGTCTGTGGTCAAGAGCAACTGAAGATCGAAAATGCTCCTTCATCTTCATCGTAATAGTCGCGACTTACGCTTTCTGGTTTGGCATTTCGTTTCTGGAGTTGTATCACGACTGGGGCGATTTGAGTACAATGACAGAAACGATGGACATGGCGCTGATTTACTCGGTCACGTGCCATAAGTACGTCAATCTCATGTGGAGTGAAAGGGACTGGAGAAGGATTGTTCGTCAAGTGGAAAGCAATTTTAACAGGTATCCTCATTTCAAATTTATATAAAGTATAAAGTCGGTTGCCTCTTGGTTGGAATAATTGATAACCCATGTTTTAAATGAAAATAAAGTATAAATTTGGTTGATTCTTAGTTGCAATAATTGATATTATGTTAGTTATCTTTCATTTATCTGTCTATTTTCGCATTTAAATACACTTAATAACTGTAATAATAGTTTTACAAGTATTAATAACGTTTTATAAAGGCACTTGTGAAGACTCTAAGGATTAAATATCAACAATTTTGTATTTTGTTATTTACATTGTGTGTTATAAAACAACAAATTATTAATGAATAGTTTTTAAAACTGTTTCAATTTCAAATAAAATAAAGAGTTAACACATTAACGTTAGTAAATATAACGATAATGTGGCCGAAACAGCAGTTTTCGATTAACAAAACAGGATGTCCAGTCTTGACACGCACAAAATTGAAACTACGAATTGTGATATTTGCAAAGAATGTGTTCATCAAAGGTTTTAAAATCTAAAACGCTGCATTAAAGGTTACACAATTTTTTATCCATATATTCGCAATGATAAGTACTCAAATATCTCATTGATAACAGCAGAGACCGCGTAACTGTGCGGCGTAATATGCAGCGATAAGCATGAATGACTTTACCCATACTACATATTAGAGTTGCTATCAAACATGTTACAACTCTGGACAAAGAACGTGTACATTTTTTTCTTGACAGACAGTAATGATTTCTAGGTTACGATTAATATTTTGGACAAACATTTTAAAAATCCTTGTTCGTCACCAGATGATTCATACAGTCTTCTGGTGCGTGTAAGTCTTGGCACTATGAACTGAGCAGTGCTCTGATTAGATCACACTGAATAGAGCATCCTGAATAGAGCACCCTCAAATTTGTGCTTGAAATTAATGAAATATATACAGGTGTCCCACCATCTACGGGCCACGAGAAAAAATCTCTGAGAACAGAAAGGGATCAAAAGGATAAGAATACGCACACATCTTGAATACGCACCATGAATAGACAGTGAATACGAACCGTGAATCCACACCTTGAAGACGCACTCTGGATAGAGCATCCTGAATAGATACTCCGAATACCCCACTGAATACGCACCCTGAATAGATCATCCCGAATACATCCACTGAATACGCACCGTGAATAGACAGTGAATGCGAACCCTGAATCCACACCTTGAATAGGCACTCTGGATAGAGCATCCTGAATAGATACTCCGAATACCGCACTGAATACGCACCCTGAATAGATCATCCTGAATACATCCACTGAATACGCACCGTGAATAGACCTTGCTTAGAAGGGTGCGCCCTCGGAGGACCGCCTGAAAAGTGGGCGTGGCGTGTGGCGCAGGCCGCTGCAGAAGGCGACGCCGGCGCAGCTGGCCGTGATGAAGAAGCGCGTGCGCGAGACGCGTCTGAGCTACTTGGTGTGGACGTCGCTGCTGTCCGGAGCCATCATCAGCATCGGCCTCATTCCTCTGGGCGAGGCCCTCTCCCAGCGAGGCGGCGGCGGCCCGACGGAGGCCAACAGCACGGCCCCCGCGGGCGCCGACGACCAGTCGCCCAGTCTGTGGAGGATCCCCTTCAGGTACAGAAAACGGGTGCATGACGAGAGAAAAATTGTCATTTTCAATTTATTGTCGAAATTTGTCCGGTTTCGGTGGCTCAGAGAATCATTTAATGTCACTGCAGTGCCTCTGACTGGGAGGTTCTTGGGGGTTCGAGTCTTGATGGTGGCAGGATTTTCGACACCAGTGAGATAGGTTAAATTCAACCACTAGCTGGAGGATAATTCTAGCGGCCTGCACTGATTGATAGTTTACCGTGGTTTATCCGATGAAGAGAAGAAGAAGGGTTACTATTTTGTGAAGCTGTGAAATAGACAAGCGAGATTTGGGTAGAGTATGCAATTTTAATGTCACTACTGAAACAAATCGAAGTACGTTACCTCCCATCAGGATGCATTTCAAGTCTTGTTCAGAACGCTATAATAATTTGAGGAGCCTTGTGAGTAATGATGATATGTACTAAAGTTTAAATAATATAAATTAGTGTGAAAATTAATTTTAATGTTTGCAATGTTTAAAAATGCAGAATTAATATATTTTTTATGACTTAATGAATATAAAATATTTTATTTTTTGGGAGGAGAGCAGCTATCCAACTGACAACCATTTTTCATTTTACGTCTATAACTAATCCTCTACATATTAAATGATTGTTTTGAAACGAAAAGTCGAGTTTTTTAAACTACTAATATATCGTGTACAACTGTTTTTTGCACAGGACATGGACACCTTTTGACAACTTGACAGGTTTCCCTTACATCTTAGTGTATGCTTTTCACGTGTTCATGGCGGCGCTGCAGTTGTTTATGATACCAGCCTACGATAACTTACTTATTGCACTTGTGAATTACACTTGTGGGCAGTTTGCCACCTTGCAGAATTCACTGTTGAACATTCGGAGAGATGCAAAGTGAGTATGCTACACTTCAAAAATCAATTAGTTACACAATTTATATTTGTACAAGAAAAGGGTAAACACTATTTTAATAGTATTGAACATTAATTTGTATTGAACTATTTAAACACTATTAGCACATGTCTTCAGTTTAAGTAATTGCGTTATCAAATTATTAAACGCTAAAAGTCAAAGTTTTGGCCCTTTATTGAGCCTTCATCTGGGTGTTATCTTCTCAAACTCTCTTTCACAAATAAAGTTAACTTCGCAAAGACAACGGAGAGTGCGCCCATCACACTCTAGTGGTACAATCAGATAAGGAGCGAGGACAAGATCAAAATAATGTACAGTTAGAGCGTACATAAGCAACGGGGAGCGGCGCGAGGTGACAGTGCTACTTGCAGACCTTTCAGCGCGGCTTCCTGACAATAATAATGTTGCGGTGAGAGTGGATCTTCGTTCCACATGATATGAGACGTGTATTTAAAAAATAACTTTACATTTCTAATGTGTAAGTGACGTTAGGTTTGCGTTTTGCAGAAATTAGCAGAAATCCATTCCAATAGCTCTTCTGAAATTTCATGTCATAATTTTCTGTTGTCCATTTGGTGAAATCTCAAATCTCAGGTCTTTCACAAAGCTTCTCATTCATAAATTAAGGAAATTAGTTTCTCAGCGTCTTTGCTGACTGATTCAGTTCGACCGATAAAAAAAGATAATTTGATACTGTTCAGCCAACTTGGCGGTTTGGCCGTAATCGGCAAAAGCCGTCAGACACATCACGTGTAATTGTTTCAGAGCAGTTTGAAGCTGGTTCTCATCTATTGTCGAACTATTTTGTGTTATAAATAGAAGCACTAATGATAGTTAACTCGATAA